ACAGAGTTTCTGTGTAGATTTGTTTGGAGCCTGTCCTGGAACTCACTCTATAAACCAAGGTGGCTTCCAACTTAGAGATCCCTCTGCCTCTGCCTGCTGGAATAAAGGTGTGCACTACCACCCCACCCTCACCCTGGCTGTTTGCTGTGCTCTCTACTTTCATTTGTTGGCAGTTATTTCCTAAATGCTCGAGGTATTCACTGGTAGACTTGTCTGGGTCTGGTGCTTTTGCTTTGGAAGATCATTGTATTGATAACTATTGTGTTCCTATGACCAGAACCATGAAAGGATGACTTAAAAGAGGGTGGCTTCGTTTGGCTCATGGTTGCAGGGTCTGCATTTTATGGTTATTTCGCCCCATGTGCCTCAGCATAGTTGGCAGTGGGGCTGGGGCAAAGTTGGTGGTCTGTCTGTCTTTGTTTGTGGATGGGGAGAGGGCAGAAGAATAAAGCCAGCACTCACCTGGCTTTCTTCTCCCAACCCTTTTATTCTAAGGTCTCAAGTCCATAGGATGGTGTTGCCCATATTCACAGTAGTTCTTCCTGCCTTGGCTAATCCCCTGGAAACCGTTACAAATACATCCAGAGGTGTGTTTCACCAGTGTGAGGTGATTCCAAATCAGTCTAGTTGACAATCAAAATTGTCAATTGTACTTAGTAATTACTGAACAGATTTTTTAAATAGTTACAAGCATTCTGATTGTCTATTTGACTTATATTTTAAAAATAGAAACTTTTTTAGAGTAAGGAATGCAGATATTAATTTACAGTGATTTTTCTGATTTTTTAAGTAATACTTTGATTCTGTGTAAATGATACTTGTGTTGGTGACTCGAGGTCCCACACTCTGGTGATACTGGGCAGTGACAGTAAGCTGTAGCTTTTGTCATCTGCAGGGTCAACAATTGGTGCTCTGCACGGTGTTACTACACTGTGATGTTTGTAGTTAGATGTAGTAAGTACACTTTCAGCTTCCAGTGGTTTATAGGGATTTGACTTTGTTAAAAGTTGAGCAAGGCTGGGATGTAGTTCAGTTGGTAGAGTTCCTGTCTAGCGTACACAGACTCTATGTTCAGTCACCACCACCGTGCAAACTGGGCATGGTGATGTAAGGCTGTAATCCCAGGACTTGGACAGTAGAAAGGCAGGAGAATCAGGAATTCAGGGTCATCTTTGACTGCATAGGAAGTACAAGACCAGCCTGGGATACTTGAGACCCTGTCTCTCTCACATACATACAAAAAGTGGTGAATGAAGTTTGGAGAGAAAAGAAAGTAGAAATGTATAAGAAAATTTCACATAAGAAATGGTGAGTTTTCTTTTAGTTTCTTTCGTTTGACTGAAGAACTCTTGTTTCTGTTAGATTAGAATTTTTGTTATGTCTAATGGGCATGTATAATAACAGACATGTGAGTTAAAATGAAAAAAATGTGTAGCATGGCCTCACCAGTCACGTTGTTTTTTCAGATCAATGTAAATCTTCAGTCTTGGAAGATCCACTTCTGGTAACCTCGTTATTTTCTCATAAACACCATTGCCAGGTTCTGTGCCCGCCACACTGTTTTCTACCGTTACTAGTGTAATTAACAACGGCTTTCTGTTGATTATCAGTCATATATCATTCGCCTAGCTTAGTACTGAAGTACCTTCATGAGCTTGTCACTGAAGAGCCATCCTTGTTAGGTGACCTTGTAGTTCTGTCAGTACCATCCAGTGTCGTGTGTCAGAAGGGTTTCCTCTTATACGAACTTTCTGCCTCAGTGCCTGTTCTTATATGGTTTCCCTGGACTGGAATGCTATCCTTTTCTTCTTCAGACAATTATGTAGTTTAGGTTTGCTTGCTCTTAGAAATCAGTCTCCTTTTCTTCCTTCCCTTCTTTCTTCTTTTCAACTTTCCAAAGCATATGCACATTACATCATAAAACACAGTTCAGTGCTGGCAAAAAGTCACTCAGTTACAAGCCTTTAGTAAGAAGCTTAATTTTAGTAAATTTATGGTTGTATGAACATTCTCTAACATTTGGTGTTAGAACATTTTCATCACCCTAGAAAGCTCATTTGGAGGCTGTCTCTGCCCTCAACCCCTAATATACTTTCTGCTTCCCATAGATTGACTTCTTTGTAGATGTTTCCTAGAAATCAGATCATAGCATATGTAGTTCTTTTGCACATATGTTGTGGTACCTCTCACTAAGCAAGATGGGAGTCTCATCATGTTGTCACATCATATGTCATTCCTCTTTGTTATGTCCCCTTGTGTATAGATGGCTTCTAAAACATGTTTACTACTAGTTGATGAGCTTGTTGGCCATTGGAGTTTCACTTCTTTGTTACCACAAGCAGTTATACTTGGAACATTCACTGAGGAACCTTTGAATGGTTCAGTTTTCCCCATTTTTCCGTTTAAAACCTAGGAATGAAGTTGCTCAGTTATAAGGTCAATTTGTGCAAACTTCTAAGAAATTCTCCAACTGTTTTTCCACATTCTGTTTGTCCTCACCTCCGCCTTCTAATTATTTTTCCCTTTTGCATGTGCGTGTATGCAAGTGCTTTACTCCAGAACCACCCTCTGGCCTCTATAATTCCTGGTCTTTTTGTTCTTGTATTTTCACCCACAGTAGATCCCAAACTCCTCCAGGCAGAGATGATCACTGATTTCTTTTTCTTTTTCCCCTCCACCCCCAGCTGAGACAGGATTTCTCTGTGTAACAGTCCTGGCTGTGCTGGAACTCACTCTGTAGCCTAGGCTGGCCTCGAACTCACAGAGATCCGCCTGCCTCTGCTCCCGAGTGCTGGGATTAAAGGCGTGCGCCACCACTGCTCGACAGTCGCTCACTTCTGAAGGTGTTGGGTTGGGAGTTGTTTCCACTGAAGCATTTTTAGTTGGGTAGCTTATAGTTGACTTTGCTATGTTAACTCTTTTGTAAGCATTACTTTATTTTCATGCTTTAAAGAAATACTTTGTGTACCAACTATCAATATCGTAAGGTACTATGTTTTTAAGTCATTTAACTAAGATCAAGTTTTTAAAAAATGTGTTTAGACTTTTAGCCTCACAATAAGCATTTGTTTATTTATTTAATTGTTTCATGCTGCTAAGGATTAAGCACCCTGCCTCCTGCATCTGAGGCAAACACTCTACCACTGAGCCATGTCCCCATCCTGGCCTACTCAGTTCCTGTGTAACATGATTTATGTGTTTCTAAAAGTGACTTGCTACACAATGCTACATGGGACTTATGAGACAAGGGAGATTATGAGAACAATTTTGTCAGACAAGTGTTTTATCTTTTTTGATAGAATTCTAAGAAATGTTTGGTAGAGTTGTGCAGATGAAGTGATTTAGAAACACTTGTGGGATATAGCAAATGTGCTTGAAAAGGTGTTTGTAGGACTCATTAAAGTTGTATTTGTGAGGTCCCATAAAGTGATGATAGGATGGAAAATTATAGTGCCCTGATAAGGATGGGTGCGGTGGATAACACAGATAATGAAATCCAGTGGTTAGTAGACATCTGAGGCATATGCATTCTTGTGTTTTATTATACTGTTCTACTTAGGTATTTTTGTGCCACTTGAACAGCTTGCTTTATTTGGCTTGCAGTTGTCTGCATTTACCTTTCAAGTTTTTGCGTGTGACAGCTACAAATAGAAAAAACAACAATTATAGCATACTTAAATTACCCCAAGATTTATCAGAATATAGAGGATCAAGTTGATGTTTTTCCAGTAAATTTTATAGGATCTACTGTATAGTAAGTACACAGTTTGAAGACAGGGTCAGCTCATTTATCAGAGAGCATGTCATTACCTCCCTTGCCTTTTCTTGACAAGAGTCTCAAGTCCAAGTGGTCACTGCTATTGTCTTTGTAGGAAACTACATTCTGAATTATGTGGCGTCACAACCTAAGCTGGCTCCCTTTGCCATTCAAGCTCTTATTCAAGTCATTGCTAAGCTCACTAAGCTGGGGTGGTTTGAAGTTCAGAAAGACGAGTTTGTTTTCAGAGACATTATTGCTGACGTGAAGAAATTCCTTCAGGTAAGAAGGCACTGGTTATCACTGTGTTACAGTGTCACCACTTGCTTGGTTGTTTAAAATACTGCTTCGAGCCACTTGGTTCTCTTTGTAGTACCATTGTTGTCATTTTATTATTTGTCGTTTGGAACCTTTATTATTTATTGTCAGTTAAAAACTACGCTATACCAGAATAATAAAAATAATCATTGTTTCTAAATCTAAAATGTACTACTTATGACATGTTTGTATATACATATACAAGCAACTTAATATATATATGTATGTATGTATATAATGCTTTTTTGTTTTTTTTGTGACAGGGTTTCTCTGTAGCCCTGGCTGTCCTGGAACTCACTCAGTAGACCAGGCTGGCCCTGAATTCAGAGATCCACCTGCCTCTGCCTCTTGAGTGCTGGTATTAAAGGCGTGTGCTACCACCACCCGGCTTATGATGCTTATAATGATAATTACCTAGTTCTCATAAGAGTCCTAAGAAATGGGTTTCATAGTACAAATGAAAAAAAACCCTGTGATTTAGTAAAGCATAACTGGTACTCTGACAAGTCTTTTGACAGCTTTTTTTTTAATCCCATACCACATCAACTATAATATTTTCCTGAGGAATGTTTTCAAGTGAATCACTAAATCATAGCACATGATGTAAATATAAATAATAGGTAAAGCATACATTTCATACCTGATTTACACCAGTTCAGATATTTAGAGTACAAGAAAGAAAGAACAGAAACTACCAGGAGATTGTTCACTTCCTATTCCACATGGTAATTACAGATTTTGAGATAATAAAGGAATCAGGACTCTATCCTTTTGCCTCGTTCCTATTTTCCTCATTCTTTTTTTTAAATTTTATTTTATTTTACAATACTATTCAGTTCTACATAACAGCCACAGATTCCCTTGTTCTCCCCCTTCCTGCCCCCCTCCCCTTCCCCCCAGCCCACCCCCCATTCCCACCTCCTCCAGATCAAGGTCTCCCCCGAGGAATGGGATCGACCTGGTAGACTCAGTCCAGGCAGGTCCAGTCCCCTCCTCCCAGACTGAGCCAAGCGTCTCTGCATAAGCTCCAGGTTTCAAACAGCCAACTCATGCAATGAGCACAGGACTTGGTTCCACTGCCTAGATGCCTCCCAAACAGATCAAGCCAATCAACTGTCTCACCTATTCAGAGGGCCTGATCCAGCTGGGAGCCCCTCAGCCTTTAGTACATAGTTCTATTTTCCTCATTCTTAAAATAATTAAGTATTTAGTGATAAATGTTTTTTATACTTGTGTCATTTCTAATCATGGCAATTACTTTTGTTGGTGTCAAGTTTAAGAGTTCTTGGGCTGAAGAGATGGTTCAGTGGGTAAAACTGCTTTCTGTAGCCCAAGCCTCTGTGATCTTAGGTGTTTAAAATAAAAAAAGAAAGAACAGTTTTCAGAGTGTCAGTTAGAGAGCCATGCTCTGCAACTTTATTGAGCTAATATACACAGAGTAGCCATAATTCAGTGAATAGGAAATTAGGAGGTCCACGAAGAATTAAAATGCATTGTTTGATGCTCCCAGAGTTGGTCTTTGGTGGTTCTGAGATAATATGAACTTAATTATACCTAGAATTCAGTGTTGCTGAGTTTCTGTGCAAGTCAGAGGGATGACCAACTGTGCAATGAAGATGTAGAAAGCGCATCTGTGCATACTTTTGTATTACTGCACTGTAATTTGATGCTACATTATTTCCATGTGTGCCAGTATGATTTTGTAATAGGGTAATTTGTTAGTAATGTGCACATGAAGTCTGAATTGAAGGAAGTTTTGGAATTAAATTGGAAGCTAATTAGAAACATCATGGCAACTATACCATATTGATAGTCATATTTACTTTGCTACATTGGATACTCTAGATGTCTTCATTAAGGCACCTAACGACTCCATACACGTGCACTGTTCAGTAATATTAAAAGAGCCTAAGTGATCTTTTCTGATATTAGATCAAGAGATTTAAATTAGTTTCTAAGCTACTTATTAATTATTGAGTGCAGCTATCACAGTAGGCTTCAAGCAAATTTCTAGAACAAAAACCATTTCCCCCCATTCTTAAGATTGTAGAAAAGGTACAAAATTAAATGTTATTTTGAAGCTTCATTATTATGAATTGTAAATGTTGGGAAACATTGTATAGAGTGGTATGCATTTCTAAGGTAGGTGTTCATTTTCTCTAACTCTATGTACCAAAATTTGTCCTTCAAAAATGAATTCAAAATTCTTTTAGTTGTAGAAATAACAATACTTTTTAAAAAAGCATACTTTTAAGGACTATTATTAGGCCAATGTGATGCTTTGTTATTTAATTTTTAAAAGTTAAGAACTAATTATGTTTTCACTTGGTTATTTTTCCAAAGGGTACTGTGGAACACTGCATAATAGGAGTGATAATCCTTTCTGAATTGACTCAGGAGATGAACCTGGTAAGCTTTTCCATGGAATATGTGGGATTTGCTTGGGTAATATTCTTTGGTACTTTTATTTGTTGCAAAATGTATAGTTGTTCTGTGGCATGAAACTCCTCACTAATCATCTCTTTGTGTATTTGTTTTAATAATTCAAAAATTAAATTAAAATGCTTTCACTGAAAATTACAGCCATAGTAAAAAAACACAGAATAAAAATAGTGGGAAATAGGACATAGTACCGGAGAATTGTCTTGTTATTCTCATAGATATAATGTATTAACCATAAAAAATGAATTGTATGGAAAAGAAAAGTAAACTTTTATGTGTTTACAAATAAAGGACAAATGATTTAGAAGATTGATTCATGGGTTAATGGCAGGACTCCTCCAGGCACAGACCTTGGCACTCAGTCGCTGTCTGACTTGAATTCTCACCAGCGTAAGGAGCATTTTCAGAAGGTACACCTCCCTCACCAGGGCTTTTCCAGCCCAGCACCTGAGGAGGCTCTGGTCACCTGTTCCTGTTCTCCTTTGCTGTCAGCACGGCTTCCAACAGGACAGAAACAGAAGCTGTGTTCTACATGGGATCACTTTACAGAGGGGATTGTAGAGTTTGAGTTGAGAAACTGGCATCCTCCAGAGTGGTGGTGTGTGTATGAAATGTGAACGTGCTCCTAAGGAGAGCTAGCGTCTCCACTTCCAACTCCCTTTGTAGTCACAGTAAGTCACAGGATTTTAGAATTGCTGCTCAGTGATGAATCAGCACATTTTATAGGACTTCCACGTTTTAAAGTAACCCTCGTTTCCATGTGTGCCCATCCATGTTGGCTTCTCTCAGACTATGTGGAGACTATCTCCTGTGCCATGGCTGCTCTCCATTTCAAGAACAGCTGTTTTGTTGGCAGGGATATGATGACTTGATTAATCATAATGGGACTCTGAATGAGTTTAAAGAACTGAAGCTCTCTTTAATAATTTAATAAATAATTTTATATGTTTTGTAAATTTTCTTTAAGAAAGTGAGAGACTGGTATAGTATCCACAGCACCCAGCTTTTGTACTTACTGAACTTAGAACTGATTGGTTCATTGCCCACTTGACAACAAGTAGCAATATAGGCTTCCCTGGAAGGGAGGGTTCTGAGAGCCTTAGTTCCTGTTAGTTTCTAATTTCTTACTTAGTTACTTCTCAGTAACTGGTAATGTGGATTTTTTTTTTTTCCTGGTGTACTTTTTTTTTTTTTGGTTTTTTGAGATAGGGTTTCTCTGTGTAGCTCTGGTGCTGGGATTTAAAGGTATGTGCCACCACCGCCCGAATTGGTATACTTTTGAGGCAGGATTTCTTTGTGTAACAGCCCTGGCTGTCCTGGAACTCTGTAAACCAGGCCAACCTCAAACTCACAGAGATCTATCTATCCGCCAGCCTCTGTGTCCTGCGCCACTGTGCCCTACTGGTAATGTGGATTCTAATAAAAGTGTATCTTGGAGAGCAACTAAGTATCTTTTAAAATACACAAACAAACTTTGAGTAATGTTTGGCCGGCAGGAGAAAGTTCTTTCTTGACCACTTGATGATAAGTTGACAACATGATGCCCTACCCCCACATTCCTGCAGCCTAGGGAATACTTTACCTTTCTTTCTAAAAGGACATTCTTTCTTCTACATGGTCATGATAGCCCATTGGATTTTTTTTTCCTTTTATTTTATTTTACAATACCATTCTGTTCTACATATCAGCCATGGGTTCCCCTGTTCTGCCCCCTCCCACCTGGATTTTTTAAGAGTGAACTAAAAGCTGTTAGTTCTGTTTCGTTAGTTAGTCCCAGCATGTCCTCAGATCAGATGCCTGCTCAGAGTATGCCACATGTTTGCTTCTCACATTGTATTAGTATTCTTCAGTCTGGGAGAATTAGCTAATCTTCTCTCTACTTCACAACCTGTTTTAGTTAGGGTTGTGTTGCTGTGATGAAACAGCATGACCAAAAGCAACTTGGGGAAAAAAGGGTTTATTTTACTCACAGTTCCATAGAACAGTTTATTATCAAATGCAGCACCAGCAGGAACTCAAGCAGAGGAGGAACCTGGAGGCAGGAGCTGATACAGAGGCCCTGGATGGGTGCTACTTCCTGGCTAACTCCTCGTGGCCTGCTCAACTTGCTTTTTCTTATGGAACCCAGGACCACTAGCCCAGGAACAGTACTTATCACAATGGGCTGGGCTGGTGGTCCCTCATCAATCACTAATTAGAAAATGCCTTACAGTCAGATCTTATGGAGGCATTTTCTCAATTTAAGGTTCCCTCATTTTAGATAACTCTAGTTTGTGTCAAGTTGACATAAAACTATCCAGCATACAATCTGAAACGTGAAGAGTACAAACTAGTTGTTTTGTAAAACATAGTTTAAGATTGTCCAGTGTTTCCTCATTATTAAATTCAGATTGCATTTATTTATTAGGAGTATCATGAATGATGCTATGGCCTTATTGTCTCTTGCCAGGAAGCATATGGTTTGAGTTGTCTAATAATGGATGATGGCTCACTTTAATTTCTTAATTAAACATGTTCACTACCCAACTTCCTTATACTTTTTGTAATTTATAAATATTTTGTGGAGAGGTACTTTACACCTCTGAAAATACCCTATTCCTCACCAAGCTTAAGTTGTTAATATAGGTTCCTAATTCTTTTTAATAGATTATAATTCACCAGTAAGAAATCTTTCAAGTTGGCTTTAGCATCCATTTAACATTTCTCACCGTTCTTTGAATTTTTTTTTTTGTTTTTTTTTTTTTTTTTTTTTTTTAAGACAGGGTTTCTCTGTGTAGCCCTGGCTGTTCTGGAACTCGCTCTGTAGACAACGTTGGCCTCAAACTCACGAGATCCACTTGCCTCTGAGTACTGGGATTAAAGGTGTTCACCCAGCTTTTTTTTTTTCTTTTTTGAGATAGTTTCCAGTAGCTCAGGCTGACCTCACATTTGCTTTGTAGCAGGGAATGACCTTGAACTTTTGATCTTTCTGTCTCCCCTTGGAAGTACTGGTATTTTTGGAGTATTCCACTATACTTGCCCTTTTTTGTTCTTCTGGTACAAGCTGTTCTAGGTTATCCACATACAATAAAGCCAAGCTCCTTTTTAGCAGAGTTCCACTCCAGACATATAGCACATGCTGTGATCCTAAAGCTGGGAGGCTGAGGCAGTATCCCCAGAACAACACTACCTCCCTCCAAGCTTTAAAGTTGGAATTTTGGCTTTATAAGTTGAAAAAATACATTTTCTATGGAGAAAAACTTGACTGAGCTTAATTTTGGGGTGGGGGAGTCATTTTCCATTTCAACCAGCATTTCTGGGGGTGATTAGATTCACGTGAGGAAAGTCCAGTGTTACAAAATGGTCAGAAGTGTCCTGAATAAATCAGTGTGGTGGTTGGTTGGATCTTTTTTCTTCCTTGTTTTTGGGTGTAGGGGAGACAGGGGTTTCACAGTGTAGTAGCCCCGGCTGGCCTGGAACTCACTGTATAGATAGACCAGACTGGCCTTGAACTTAAAGAGCTCTGCCTGCCTGTGCCTCCTGAGTGCTGGGATTAAAGGAATGCACCACCGCACCCTGTCTAAGTATAGTTGTATTTTTTAAGAAAAACATGTAAACTAGATTTTCCTAAAAGTTAAAAGAGGATTGTAAACATTGTCCCACATTTTTAGGAGCCAAATCTGCTGTTCCTTGATTGTATTTGTTATATAGTCATCAAAGTGAAATACATAAGTCTTTATAATAGGGGCATACATGTACAATATGAAATACCTGCGCCTATATAGTAAGGGTATGTATGTGCAATATCAGATACATATGCCTCTATATTGGGGGCATACATATGCAGTGTGAAATGGTTATACAGTCTCTCTCAAAACATGGTATCTATGCGAGTACCCAGATTGGAGTAAGCATGCAAGCCTGGAGGAAAGCACAGGTGAAGGCAGATTTGTCTTTAGATCTGTGACCAATTGCTTTGTACAAATTTTTTTTTCAGAGTTGAGAGTTTCTTACAATATGTTTTGATCATGTTCATTCTTCTTCCTTCAGCTCTTCCCAGATCTACTCCTCTTTTTTACCTACCCATAAATTTATTTATTTTTAATCCTGCATATTTTTCTTTGAAGAGAGATAATGACACCCCTACATAGATCTTACTTACTAAGAGCAGATAAACTAGCTGGGAGGTCGTGGCTTACACCTTTAATCCTATCCCTTGAGAGGCAGAGGCAGGTAGATCTCTGAGTTCGAGGCCAGCCTGGTCTACAGAGCAAGTTTCTAGGGCTACTTAGAAAATCCCTGTCTCAAAAAACAAAACAACAAAACAACAACAACAAAAGAGCAGATAAACTGTTGGCATAGCGCTGGTGTGTGGAAGGCACTCCATAAACCTAAGTTTCTTCTGTTGGTGTTCTGGATGTGGTAAAGGACACTGTGCATTTTAAAGTGGAATAATATGTTAAGAATCCTTTCTAAACAGGACTTGAGATGCTGTCTGCTCTTACTGATTTTTATGGAAAGAAAGATTTTGGTGTTATTGTTTTCAGCATGTGAGAAGAACTTTGAAGTCTGATGTAGTAAAAGAGGGTTGGGGAGATGACTGAGCAGGTCAAGCGCTTGGCATGAAAACGTGAACACCAGTTTGCATCCCCAGAACTCGTGTCAGAGCTTCCTGGGTGTGGCAGTCTGCCTGTAATTTCAGTGCATGGATGCAGAAACAAGAACCCCCCTGAGCTAGCTGTCTAGCTAGATGAACCAAAATGGTGTACTCCAGATTCATCAGGAGACCACACCTTACGTTCATGCACACCATACAGACATACACACAAAGAGAGTTTGATTTAGAGCAGAATGCTGCAAATGCTAATTAATTCCAACCACACATTGGCTCTATCTTTCAGTAACTACTTTCTGTAGTACCTCGGGACATTTATGTTTACTATTTTATAAGTAAATATAGCACTTAGGGATAGTCTAAATTGTACTCTGGAGTTTAGGAAGTATCAGATAATCAGTTCTTAGCTCATTTTTTAAAAAGTTCTTTAAATAGTAGCAGGACAAATTATTTCTTTTTGTCTTCCAATAGCAAAAGAGATAAATAGTAAATCTATAATAATTTTAGGCCACAGTGTTAATGATCATTGAGCTGTCAGAACTCATATTGTTAATTTCCTGTTGATAATGGAAATATATAGTATATATGTTATATATATATATATATATATATATATATGTGTGTGTGTGTGTGTGTGTGTGTGTGTGTGTGTGTGTGTGTGTGTGTGTGTGTGTGTATTTGTTGGGGGAGAGGAGCCAGTGTTGGAGATGTGCTAAGCATTTCCAGCACTAATACCACTGTGTAAAACCATTTTTACATTTTAGGTTAGGGACCCAAGAGCTAGTCTTAGTAATTTATTTTTAAAAAATTAATTTCTATTAGCTAATAAGATATTCAGAGATGACATGTTGTGTACATAATCAAATTCTTGAGTATCATTTCTACTTTTGTTTTCAGAATTCCAGTGGCATAAATCAATGACATATGAAAATACTTTCATATAAAATTTTTCTGTAACTGATTCATTTAGCTGGTTTACATATTAGAATTTGAAGAGTGTTTTAGAGAGTTCTCCTTTTGTAGGTAGCATTTGAGAGTTAAGGAAATTATTTACATTATATACACTATAGGGCAGAGTTCAAAAGCCCATGATCTCAAGTGTCCTTTACTTTTATTATCTATTATTATTTCGGCACTGAAAGTATGATTGACGGCTTGATAGTTTTGGGGTGGGTTCTAACCCTGTCTCTGTTAGTGAGTAATCTCAAGATTCCTTCAAAATCTTTTACAAGCTCTGTATTTATGATTCTTTGATTACTAGTACCATTATGTTACATAGTAAATGTTTGCCTTATTTTTCTATAGGTTGGTTAAGCTAATTCATCTTGACCTTTTTAGGTTGATTATTCCAGACCTTCAGCAAAACACAGGAAAGTAGCTACCTCATTTCGTGATACTTCTCTGAAAGACATTCTAGTGTTAGCATGTTCACTCCTGAAGCAGGTAAGTCAGTTGGTAACTCAGCTTCCTAGATAGAGTACTATGGGAATCTTAATTTTGAATTAAATGCTTTGTGTAACTGGAGTTTTCTTATGTCCACTCGGCTCCTGCAGCTGCTCAGACCCAAGTAAACACAAAGACTTACATTACTTATAAACTGTATGACCGTGGCAGGCTTCTTGCTAGTTCTTACATCTTAAATTAACCCATTTCTATAAATCTGTACCTTGCCACATGGCTCGTGGCTTACTGGTATCCTTACATCTTGCTTCTTAGCTGCGGCTGGCAGTGTCTCCTGACTCAGCCTTCCACTTCCCAGCATTCTCCTCTCTGCTTATCCCGCCTATAATATACTTCCTGCCTGGCTACTGGCCAATCAGTATTTTATTTATCAATCAATCAGAGCAACACATTTATAGCACACAGAAAGACATCCCCAGAAGCTTTGAATGAATTTTAAGAGGACTGTTTCCTTCTGATTTTGCCTTTAAAAGACTTGTTGTGGTCAGTCTTAAATATAGTAAATCTATATCAATTTTACTCCCTGGGCATGGAAGGAGAAATCCATAGAGAATTCAGTTTTTCTGTTTAAGCAATAGTATTTTTTAAACCTTCCTACTATAGATTTTTTAATTGGACAGGCTCGTTGAGTTTTAATAATTTCTTTTTTTTTGTTGTTGTTGTTGTCTTTTGAGAAAGGGTTTCTCTGTGTAGTTTTGGTGCCTGTCCTGGATCTTGCTCTGTAGACCAGGCTGGCCTTGAACTCACAGAAGTCCTCCTGGCTCTGCTTCCCAAGTGCTGTGATTAAAGGCGTGTGCCACCACCACCTGGCAGTTTTAATTTCTTTATCTGCCTGTCCATGTTTTGATGGAGATAGAATTTTCCATTTTTTCATAATTTTCCCAGAATTAATTTAATAGTTCCTTTGGGAAATAGGAATTTCCTACTTGTTTCTTAGTGCACAGTGGAGCATGCATAACTTTTATAATTATATTAGGCTCTGTTGTATAATGAAGGATTCCATCATACTACTCAAGCTTGTTTATTTATGTTGTAAAGCATTTTCCAGAACATCTCATTAAGTTCTGCTTCCTGTTCAGTTCTCTATTATAGGCTGAGTGTTCTTTATAAATATTGAGGACCAGAAGTGTTTCAGATTTTGGAGTGTTTTGAATTTTAGGATATTTGTATAGACTTTACCAGTTAAAAATTTTCACAATCTGAAATTTGAAATTTACCAAAATTCAAACCTTGAGTGCTTTAGATTTGCAGGTTATTTCAGATTCTAATTTTTGGATTAGAATTGTTAACTTGTATGTTAGCATTGATAATCACTGTAGTGGGTCTGATTTAATGGCTATTATTTTAAAAATATTCTTGTGGTGTGGAAAAATATCATTTACAAAGGTAAATAAAATAGTATAATTAATGGTCTTGAACTCATCAACTGACTTAGTAACGACTCATGGTTAATCTTGTTTCATGTATATTCTATTCTCCCTATCTGATTTCTCTTTGTATTATTCTTGGAGAAGTCTAGACTGCTCTACAAATACTTTATAAGGACCAGGATATACTTTTCAAAAGGCTGTATGAGAATGGACCTTACAAAAGACATCAGGATTGGACTCCAGAAGCTGGTGTCCTATACCCAACTAGGATACACCCTATCCCTAACACTCACATGGCCTTTGTTAGTTGAGTGCCTCTCTTTTATATAAGAAGTTGTCCTAGATTTTCTTGAAGAAAATTAAGTCTCAGCACTGTTTAAGCTAGTGAATTCTATGCTTTCTTCATATAGTTGTGCTATATAAAGTATTTGTTTTAAAACCTCATTAAATTTTTTTTTCTTTTGAGACAGGGAATTACTATGTAGCCCTGGCTCTCACCTGAACTCACCATGTACACCAGGCTAGCCTTGAACTCACAGAATCCTGCCTGCCTCTGCTTGTACATACTAGGATTAACCATGTGTGCCACTATACCTGGCCTAGGTTTCCTCTTAGAACTTTAGAAGGTGATCTGTAATATGTAGTTAAGTATATTTCTTTTCTCATTTTACAAGGTGAAATTTGAATGTAGTTTACTATTATAGAAATTTGTGGACAAAGATTTTTCCTATTTTTTAAAACTAATTTTCATTTCACATTGTAAATTTATGAAGTTGAAATTCACTTAGTCATATGTTTTATTTCTAATTTTGAAGGTGTTGGCCAAACCTTTAAATCTTCAGGATCAAGATCAACAAAATCTGGTGATGCAAGTCTTAAAACTGGTCCTCAGCTGCCTGTGTTTTGACTTCATTGGAAGTTCAGCCGATGAATCCGCAGATGATCTTTGCTCAGTGCAGATTCCAACAACCTGGAGAACAAGTAAGAAAAGAGAAGTGTGCAACATGAGAGATGCTCAGAATAGATGGTGCAGAATTAAGCAGTACAGTTGACCTGATCGTATGTTGTTAGCTCTGTGCTTGTGAAGTTGCCTAATAGCTACATGGGAGGATTGTAATACAGAATAGCTGCTAAAACTCAATATTGAAATGCTTTGTCTGGTTCATAACTGCTGTATTTTTATTTAAACAGTAGAAAATAGACTTGTGGGGAAATGTTAAGATTTTTGTTTGGAGACTTCCACATAAGTAGTGAGGAAGGATCTAACAGTTATCCAGAGGTATTTTTCAGAATTAAAGGTGAATAAATCAGAGTAGGTGGCTGAGCAGAGCAGAGTTGTGGCAGGTGCGATGCCCAGAACAAATCAAGGTCTCCCTCACGTTGCAGACAGTATCACTAGGGTGCCTCGGCAGAGGCTGGGAGGCTGGAGAGCCTTTGTGAAGGAAGCCTTATTTCTCGTGGACCCTTCCCACCTGTGCAGCGGGGAGACTGAGTGCTTTTGCCTCTGGAGTTGAACCTCCCTCCCTTAGCTGTTTGCTTGAAGAGTTAAACTAGAAAAGCTTCAGATTTGGGGATATCAGATAGAGGATCAACATATAAAGTTGTTTTTTTTTTTTTTAATGACTTCCAATTTAGGAATCAAAGATTAATAAACAAGAGATTTAACATTCCACATCTTGGTTGCAGTGACAAATTCATCAACTAGCACATGTAATAAAAATGCACCGACTAAAAATATGTATGCACACCTGAGTGCACATAAAACTGGACTCAATATAATTGGAGGTTGTGTTGGGCTCCTTGGCTGTGGTGTTGTAGAGTCAGTTTTTATAAGAGTTCACCGGTATGGGAGAGTGGGGAAAATAAGGCCTAGGTCTGTATTACATATGTGAATCTATAAATTAGTATCTTAGAAAGTTTAATTGTTTAAAAAGTTGGAGAATTAATATACAAGGTGAAGAATAGAAATAAACTTTAAGAGGGTATGATTAATATCCCTAGAGATATAAAAAAGGTAAAGCATTCCTGAGACAAGAATGAACATTTGCCACATAATTTAAAAATTTAATAAACAACTAAAGAGAAAGTTAATGAAATTTACTAAGTCAAATAAAACAAGATGTTTTGATAGGAGAAAAAAAAAGTCTGTAAGGAAATGAGAAGGTGAAACCAGGAGCTTGGGATTTGACTATTGGAAGTTCTAGAAAGAGAGAATAGGGAAAAACAGAAGGAAGTTTGAAAACCTAGAAATGTTTTCAGCATTAAAGGACAAGTTTATGAATTGAAAGTTATACCAAGTATCCAGAATGATGAGAGAAAAGATAGGTACTAGGCTTCGTATTCATGATGTCCCAGAAAAAAGGCTTGTTGTACACGAGAAAGAAAATTAAGTCACCGCTGGCTGGTGGTGGTGCACACCTTTTTTTTTTTTTAAAAATCCATAGAATTTATTTATTTTTATTTTATTTTACAATACAATTCAGTTCTACATATCAGCCACGGATTCCCTTGTTCTCCCCCCCCCCCACCCGTCCCCCCTTCCCCCCAGCCCATCCCCCATTCCCACCTCCTCCAGGGCAAAGCCTCCCCCAAGGACTGAGATCAACCTGGTAGACTCAGGTCCAGTTCCCTCCTCCCAGGCCGAGCCTAGTGACCCTGCATAAGTCCCAGGTTTCAAACAGCCAACTTATGCAATGAGCACAGGACCTGGTCCCACTGCCTGGATGCCTCCCAAACAGATCAAGCCAATCACCTGTCTCACCCATTCAGAGGGCCTGATCCAGTTGGGGGACCCTCAGCCATTGGTTCATAGTTCATGTGTTTCCATTCGTTTGGCTATTTGTCCCTGTGCTTTATCCAACCTTGGTTTCAACAATTCTCTCTCATATAAACCCTCCTCTTTCTCGCTAATTAGACTCCAGGAGCTCCACCCGGGGCCTAGCCGTGGATCTCTGCATCCAGATCCTTCAGTAGTTGGATGGGGTTTCTAGCACGACAGTTAGGGTGTTTGGGTGGTGCACACCTTTAATCCTGACACTCAGTAGGCAGAGGCAGGCAGATCTCTGAGGCCAGCTTAGTTTATAAAACAAGTTCCAGGACAGCCAGGGCCACACAGAGAAACCTTGTCTTGAAAAGTCAAGAATAAATTAAAGGGAAAAAAAGCCCAGCTACAGCGAGTGGCCATACCGTATATAGAAGTCTTGACATTCTTACTTGTATGGTGTTTTAATCCAAGTATTGGTGTTAGAAAAATCATTTTTTTCCCCCAGTTTTCCTGGAACCAGAAACATTGGAACTTTTCTTCAATTTGTATCACTCGCTTCCACCACTACTGTCTCAGTTAGTAAGTACAAGTTATTCCTTATTTCTTAAAGATAAAATGCTCATGATAGTTTGTTGTTGTTTTGTACTACTGGGGAATTGAACCTACAACACCACATGTAACCAGGCTGCATGTCTAGATTCTGTTTTGTTTTTTGAACAGGGTCATCCCGTGTAGCCCATGCTGCCTTCAAACTTGACTTCTATCCTCAGCCTCCTCAATGCCAAGCCCAGCCTTGTACCTGTGATTCTTTTCTGATCTGAAGTGTAAGGGTAATGTATATTCACTTCAACAATTCTTATGCACTTAATTGAGTTATATTTCTCCAGTAGTTCTTTCATTTTTGAATGTATGTTATATTCATTGGAATTTGTTAACAGTCCATTCTGCTTTGTGATTAAGCTCAGAACCAGTAACTCATCTTGTTCCTGCCACAACGAAGACAGTCTTCCAACTTCTTCCTGTATCTCACTCCCTAATCTGTACTCACCTCACTCAAGTCCCACACCACTAGGACCTTACTTTTAACCTTCTCCAACTCTTCTTCAGCCTGGTTGGCTACATGTCTTAGGTCTGATGGGCAGTCTCCATCAGAAGTCTCTGACAGAAAAACAAAGGTGATCCACTCACTTGATTTTGTGCTCATCACTCTTGCATGCTCAACTTTATTTTGAAATTCTCTTCCTTACATAGAATTTCGAGACTATGAGCACCATCTTTGTTGAATCTTAAGATCTAACAATGTTGGAAAAAAATGTAAGTTTAATAAAAATAAGTTACTAGAAATTGGAGAATTGTGTCTGTGGAGAAGTGTTCAAGATTTAAAGTGTATTTATTTGAATATCACGAAAAAGGAAGAATGTATTGCCAAGTGCTCTACTATTGAGCTCCATCTCTAACCTAACAAATCTATTCTTGAATCTCCAATTTAAGGTATTAATCTGAGTTTCATAGGGTGCTTATCTGTGGCTGTGCTTCATCCTTTCGTTTTTCAACCAGGAAAATTGCTTGTAGTTGTTAAAAAAGCATGAAGTTATATGATTGTTTTAGTATAAAGCAGAAAGGTACTCGTGATTAAAAAATATAGACGAAAACATCTGCTTTGAGATAAGTAGCATGATGCCCTGTTACATTATCTTGCTTCATCTTCACAATGACCCTGCAAGATGAATAACACTGGCCTTGCTAGGTTAACCTGAAAAACAGAAAACAGACCCAGAGTGGCTAATTGACTTTCCCCAGGGCAGCAGAATAGATACTGGCATTGAGATTAAAGCTCAGGTTTTTTTCTCAAACTATGCACTGGTGTTTGCTCTTACGACACTGATGGTTCCCAGCGATGTGCATCAGGGTTGCCTAAGGAGGGAAGGTTTGTTTGATAACAATAGAGCAGTGAGAAACTAGACCATGGCCCAAACAGAAAGATTCCATGTTTGTGCTTATTCTCACCCCTATCACGAGAGCCAGGCATTTGGTATGAAATCTTCTATTAGAAATACAAGTAAATATGTGAACCTAGATAAAACATGCAGAGACCAGTTTGTCCTTTAAGTTAATATGAGGACAGACTGCAGTAAGTGCTGTTGGATTTAGGAACCTAAGTAATGAAATGGCCTGGAAACTTAGGAAGATAACTAGGTGACAGATAACTCCTTCAGAACTTTGAGAAGTTACTAACTCTTCTAGCAGCATTTTTCAACCCTGTAAGATACTCATGAATGGTGAAGGATATAATTCATAACCAAATAATTTTGCTATATGCCTGTTAAGGGTTTTTTCTCCTTTGCAGGATCCATAATATATAATTTATAATACTCTTTTACTTCAAGATCATTTGTTGCTGATAGAACACCTAGTTTATTGGTTCACAGACAGAATGGGTATCTTAAGCAGTTGGGAACCTTCTGAATGTATCCAAGTGTAGTGCCTGTTTTGGCAGATTTGGCATATAAAAAAATACAAGAGAGGATATAGATTATATATCTCACAAAATCAGAATGAGGAATCCAGGTGTCCAGCAAGAGGAAGAAGGGGGATATACATAAGAACACTGGTATATTGACATCTTCCCCCAGGAGAATGACAGAATGAAACCAACCCTCCTTTTTCTCCTTAAAATTTCTTTTGTGTTTATGTAGAGTACATGCTTGTGTGCACATGTGTGTGTGTCTGTGCAACCATGGACCAGCATGTGGAAGCCAGAAGAGGATGTTAATTGTCTTTCTCCATAGCTATTAATCTTAGTTTCTTAGGGCAGGATCCTGAACCTGAAACTCTCCTCTTTTGGCTAGAATGGCCAGCCAGCTAGCTGCTGGCGTCTGTCTGTCTTCTAACACTGATGTTACAGGCATGTGTGGCTGTGTCCAGCTTCGTAGTCAGGTGTTCATGAAAGTGCCGTCACCCACAGAGCCATCTCCGCAGCTCATGAGGCCCTTCCTTTGTAAAATTCAAATAAAAAAACGAAACCAAAAATGTCGGTTTTAAAGGCAGAGGAAAATGCAGTCTCTGAGCAGAGGAGACTGAGGAGAGATTTTAGAAATAACTGGAGGAATACCTACAAGTGCTATTTTAGTATGCGGCAGAGCCTTGTGAGTGGTGTTAGTGGATCTAGCTACATTTAAAATTGAAATGAAAAAAGAATTTTTCTTGTTTTTTAGGCACTTTCATGCTTAGTTCAGTTTGCTTCTACAAGAAGATCCTTATTTAGCAGTCCTGAACGTGCCAAGTACCTTGGTAATTTAATTAAAGGAGTGAAAAGGATACTTGAAAACCCCCAGGTATTTATGAAGTAATTTAATTAATATTTAGCATGTAGAAATTGTATTTTTGCTCATTGGTACATAATAATTTTTTTAATTTAATTTATTGTGTTTCCGGAAGAAAATAGTATTATATTCATCTTCCAGAGGTCTTATTTGCTATTGTTTTTAAAAAGAATACTTTCAATGTAGAGTTGGTCCCCCCCCCTCGTTTGAAGTGAATAAGATTCATGTATTGTTATCATTGTACTTTATTTCTTTGCTTGTACTAGTTAAACTGGTAAAGTGATTGAGGATTATGTCTGCTTTTTGAAGTAGGAGATAACTTAAATTTAATTGTTAATATTGAAGTGAGTTGCCTTCAATTATGAAATAGTGTCTTTTGCCCTCTTGTGGACACTCAGTTTGTAGCTTTAGAAGTAGACTGCGTTAGCTCTAGAGCTTTGGTGTCAGCACACACTTGCAGAGCTGTTCATGAGAGGTTTGGAGTGTCTAACAAGTAATTATATTACTTTTAATTTGGTTTTTCTGGCTTAAAGCATTTGTAATTAAACCACAGACTGTAAAAGCATTAAGTGGTAGCTTACAGAGCTTTATCTATGCTTCTCGGTTACTGGCAATTTGGGGAACATCAGATATCTTTGTATAGAAATAAAGTATTATCATTCTATAGAGGCATTTGTTTTTGTTTTTGTTTTTTTCAGTTGTTGAAGAGATTTTATTTGTTTGTTTTTGTTTTTTTGAGACAGTTTCTCTGTGTAGCCCTGGCTGTCCTGGACCTCACTCTGTAGACCAGGCTGGTCTCAAACTCACAGAGACCTGCCTGCCTCTGCTTCTCGAGTGCTGGGATCAAAGGGCTGCACCACCAAGCCCTGTGAGATTTTTTTTTTAAAGTTTTTATAACATTTTTTATTTAACAATTTCATTTGTGTATATAACATATCTTGATCATGTGCAAACCAAGCACCCGTGCCCCTATCTTCTACACCCCAGACTTCCCAGGTGGAATATCTATAATAGATACAGTTGTTTCTATCTTTTCAATGTTAGTTCAGGTCTCATATTTACTCTTTTTGCTGATAGGTGGGATTTTACTTTAAAATCATAAGTTATCTGTGCAGCTTACTGTCATGAGCTGTATTATGGGAGATAGTTGGCCAATGTCGGCTATCTCTCCTAAGCTAATTTCCTTCTCATGGTGATATGTCACTGTAAAAGTCAATCTGGAGTTTTGGTATACAATGGTATATTTAATACACAAGTGTGTAGTAAAAGACCTTGTTGTAAGATGTATTTTTGGAATTTGTCCTAGATAATAGATACTATTTTTCTTTCCTAGAGCTCCCATTTGTAAAAGTCCTTAGATTCTTTTAAGTATTAGTATTTAAGCAATTCATTTTTAAATTTGATTATATTCCAGCTATACTGCAAAATGTTTAAATATAGAGGTAACATTTGTCCTGTAGTGAAGCCACTCACAGTTGCCTGGAAAGGCCTTTTTTGGTCTATTCCTTTAACTTTCCTTCGGAAAGTCCCCTGCATGCCATGGAGGGGTTTTGTTAAATTTGGTTCCCTTTGTGGTAATTTGAATGCCTTATCATTTAGAGGCAGGAAGTTAACTTAGAGCCATAGAATCTATAGATATGGAATAAGTGTTGAATTAAAAGAATTGTCTGTGATTTGTGCACTTACATCACACACACACACACACACACACACACACACACACACACACATCACCTAGGCTTTTTGTGTCGTAAGTTCCCACACATTAGTCATCTTGGTGTGGGGCTGCTTCTACAAACTCTTTTTTAGATTCCTTACTGTTACTGGACACCAACACTGCACTTAGCAGGCCTCACTTGTTTTCTGATAGTGTTATCTGTCTACTCACCTGCCACAAAGTCAGTACCTGTGAAAACCAGGGGAATTAATACAAATACTTGGGAAAAAGACAGTTTCTTTAAGGGCCTTTCTTTTGTATCTTCATTTAGGGATTGTCTGATCCTGGTAATTATCACGAATTTTGTCGATTTTTGGCTCGTTTAAAGACAAACTATCAGCTGGGAGAATTAGTTTTGGTGAAGGAGTATGCTGAAGTTATCGGATTGATTGCTAATTTTACTATTACTAGCCTACAGGTAAGTACAAGTGTGTAATTGAGCTTAAACTATTTTTTTAAACCAGTTTTCTTGGTAAAGGTTTGGTAGAGGTGATTTCTTTTTAAATACTTATTTGAGTACTTGAGAATTATTCTTTACAAAGTTTTTAGGTAAAATAGTCATTGCAACACATAAAATAATAAAAATTGGTATTCTGCTTAATGTCTAGTAATTGAAGAGTGATGAGAATCTGTGGTTAAATCTATGTAAAGAAACAAGAGATTATGTGAAAATTATAGATTGTATTTTGGGAAAATTTCTTTGTAAGTTGTTGGAAAGCTTTGTTTCCACTTGATTTCAGCTCTTGCAAAATATTTATGGAATAGATTCTAAGGAAATGTGGTAACATTTTAGTTCATTATTGTAAGTGGCATAGTGAGAGATACTAGCTTTTGAATACTTCTTGATTCATAAAATTTGTGTGATCCTTAGTTATATAATCAGAATAAAAGTTAATTTTATCAGGGCTGGGAATGTAGTTTACCTGATAGAATGCTTTCTTAACACTCACAAAGCCCCAGGTTCTAGCCCTAGCACCATGTCACCTGGGTATGGTAGTATATGCCTGTAGTAGCAGCTCTCACGGTGTGGAGACAGGAGAATCAGAAGTTAAAGTCCTTCTCAGGTAGAATTCAAGGCTAGTCTTGGTTACACCAGTTCCCTGTTCAAAACAAACCAAAAACAACAAACTAAAACAAGAACAACAAAAGCCAGTTAATTTTATCTGTAGTAATTTTGCTCTATGACTTTTAGTCTAGAAAGCTATAATGGCATTTAAAATAACAATTTGCTGTGTTTCTTTGTAGCATTGGGAGTTTGCCCCCAACAGCGTTCATTACTTATTAACTCTGTGGCAGAGGATGGTAGCATCTGTTCCTTTTGTGAAGTCAGCTGAACCTCACTTATTAGACACTTACGCACCTGAAATCACCAAGGCTTTTATCACTTCCCGATTGGAATCTGTTGCCATTGTTGTGAGGTATTAAAATATTAAATGTTTTATTTTTAGTCTGTCTTGAAATTTTTAAAGATTGAAGTGAAAACTTCATTCCATTGTTGGTGTACAGTTTTATGAGTTCTGACAAACATGTACAGTTGTATAATACAGTTGTATAACCACCACCGTACTCATGATAGTGAACATAGTACCATCACCCTGGAGATACTTTGGGTCCCTTTTTAGTTAGCACACAGCTATGGCAATAACTAATCTGTTTTCCTATTATTTTTGCCATTTCTAGAATATTGTACAGTTGGAACCCCCAGTATTAGTTTTTGAAGTCTGGTGTTTTTAACTTGGCATTTGGAATCCCTCATGTTGTATCAGGGGTTCCTTCCTTTTTATTACAGAGTAGAGCCCATCTGTGAATGGTTCAGTGCACCCATTGACTGATCATGGGTAGCTGGCTTGTTCTTCTTTAGCAATGGGAATAAACTGCTGACTTATTCCTATGTACAATTTCATATGAATATCAATTTCCATTTCCCTTGTGTATTTTACATACACAAGAGGGTTTCCTGGTGGCACGGTAAGTATATATTTTCTTTATAAAAAGCTGCATAACCATTTTCCAATGTGGCTGTAACATCTGTACTTACACCTACATTATATGAAAATTTGAATTGTTCTGCACTTGATTGCTGACTGTTGATGATTTTTTTTTTAGTTTTATAGTAAGTCTAGTAGGTGTGTAGTGGTAACTCATTGTGGTTTTAATTTGTATTTTGTATTTATTCTTTGGCAAAATGTCTGTCAAATCTATTGCCATGGGGCTGGAGAGATAGCTCATTGGCTAAGAGCACTGGCTTCTTTTTTAGAGGGCTTTGGTTCAATTCCCAGCACCCACCTGGCAGCTCACAGCCACCTGTCTAAACTCCAGCCCTGAGAATCTGAAGCCCTCTTCTGGCCTCCATGGCCACCAGGCACACACACAGTGCACAGACATACACACAGGCAGACACCAACACCTATAAAATAAAATGAAAACGGTTTGTAAAAATCTGTTGCCAGCCCCTTTTACAAACTGGGTTATTTCCTTAGATTAGGATTTTAGAAGTTTGTGTGTCCGTTCACAGTTCTTTTGTTAAAGTCCTGGAGACTGTTTTCCTCTCTCACTTCCCGTTACTTGTCTTTCTATTTTCTGAGTCTAGAAGATTGTACGTTTTACATTCGCTGAGCTCCTGCCTATTATTTTGTTTTATGTATCATCCTTAGTGCCCTGTCTAAGGCATTTTTACCTCATTCCAAGTCAGAGCTTTTCTTTACTTTTTTATAGTTTTTAAGATTTTGCACACCTTTAATTCTAGCACTCAGTAGACAGAGGCAGATGGATCTCTGCGTTCAAGGCCAGCCTGATCTACAGAGTGAGTTCCAGGACAGCCAGGAATACACAGAGAAACACAAAAAACACCAAACCAAGCCACACCAAACAAAATTTACACTTAATGTGTGTGATCCATTTGAAGTTAATTTTTGTTCTGAGTGTGGAAACACGTCTGTACTCCCAGCACTTGGGATGCTGAGATGGGAAAATCACAAGCTCTGTGTAATACATGGAAGGCCCCTTGGTTACAAAGGGAGACTGTCTCAGAAACAAAAACTGAACAAAGAAGCCAGGTTTTGTATATTATATTATATGTATATTATCTGTATATATGTATATTTGTTAATATTGCATAAAGTTCAGGTTCTTCTTGTCTCCATTTTGCTTTGGAGGATCAGTTCCTTACCCCAGTGCCATTTGTGGATACAGACTATCCTTTGTAATTGAAGTTCATTCACATTGTTAAAAATTAATCCACCACATGTTTATGGTTTCATTTTGAGATTCTGTTCTTACTAATCCACATAGATTTCCACCAGTGCCCTCTTTTAGTTACTATAGGTGAAATAAACTTTGAAATCAGGCAGTATGAGCATATTTCATTTCTCTCTTCATGTAAAACTTAGCATCAGCTTGCCAGTCTCTATTTCATTTAAATATTATTATTATGATGATGATGATGTATGGGAGAATATATGCCAAGCACCTGTGTGCAGGTCAGAGGACAGCTTCATGGAGTTGTCTCTGTCCTCCATCTTGATATACATGGTTCCAGGAATCGAGGTCAGGTCCACAGACTTTGCAGTAAGCATTGTGCTGGCTGAGCTCTCTGTGAGTCTGGCCCTGTCTGTGACTTTCTACAAGAGCTTCCTGTTTGGATGGACTTGGATTGAATCCCATATGTTATTTGGGAGAGGGTCTGAGACTGCAGCCATGTCCAGTCTTTGGGCAGCAGACATGGTGCATCTGCCCTTCTTTGTTTAGCTCTTTAGTTTCTCCTATCAGTGCTTTGTAATTTCAGCTTTTAGATTTTGAGCATACTTAGTTAGATTTAGTTAGTACCTTTGTATTATACTGTTACTTAGTTTTGAGAACAGTGTCTGGTGGGCACCAAGCCTTAAATTCACGTCTAACTGAGGCTGGCCTTAAACTCCTAATCCTTCTGTCCTCAGTTCCTGAGTGCTTGAATTGTAGCCACATGCCCTCTCCCGCAGCTTACCATGCTTTTTAAATCGTGTGACACAGTTGTTCAATATTCCAGTTTCATTTCCTCTTTGCCATTGTAGAGCAGCACAGCTGGATTTGTATTTTGAGCCTGCTTGTTATGATCTTGGTATTCACTTCTTAGTTCTAGTGGTTTTTTGTGTGTGTGTATGTGGGGTCTTTTGATCATTTCTATGTGCAAAATCATGTCAACTTCATATATGTGGTTTTATTTTTTACCTTCCAATCTATTTGTCTTTTATTTCTTGGCTCATCATAGCATTTTTACATTACAGAGTTTCAGTGCTGTGATTAAGATGTACCACATTGTAAGGGAATGTCTTCTGTGTTTCAGAGATAATTTAGATGACCCCCTGGATGACACTGCTACCGTGTTCCAGCAGCTGGAGCAGCTGTGCACAGTCAGCAGATGTGAATATGAAAAGACGTGTACTCTTCTTGTACAGCTGTTTGACCAAAATGCGCAGAATTATCAAAAGCTCCTGCATTCAGCTTCTGGGCTAGCTGTTGATATGGCAATTCAAGAAGGTCAGTTTGTGTCACACAGTTGTGAGCAGTGTGCCATAGTGAGTAGAGCCATCAGTCACTGTCAGAACCTTGCTTTGAGCCAGGTGTAATGGCACACCTCTTTATTCCGAGTGCTAGGTTAGGGAGGCAGAGGCAGGAGGATCTCTGAGTTCAAGGCCAGTTTGTCCTGCTGTAAACGAATTCTATAAGTTTCTCCCAATGTCCCCAGTAAACAAACCACTGATCTTGCTAAGCTGTTGGGTATTTTGGTGACTTGACTGTTGATCTTTAATATTTTTCTGAGACACGGAGGAAACAACTCCATGTGGACTCTATGGAACAACTGTTAATGATCCTCAAGTAGACAGTGTGATGTCATTGTCTTTACTAGTCTTCTTTTCTATAGTAAATTTTAGACATAGCCAAAGTCAGCCAGTAAAAGACACCTCATCAGATTTTACTTTTATTTGTGTATCAGTCTTCACTATGCTTTTTCTTTTTATTTCTCACTTTCTTTATTATTGTCTTTAACCTTACTGAACAGGACATACTTATTTCTTTATTTCTCATTAAATACTTTCAGATAGATAGCATGGAATAAGTTTTTTTTTCCTCCAAATTTTTAAAATGCAATAGAAGGATGAAAGAATTCATAGTTTTGTTATTTGTTAGGTTAGTATACAAAGTAATGGGTTTCATGGGCATAGCCACCTGTTTGTGTTACTATACTTTGTTCCTATTCATTCCCTTTCTTCTCTTCCCCCACACACCCTCTGCTCCTCGCTGGATATCTCTGCTCCCTTCCTTCCTCAAGAGAATCACTCCTGTTTCTATGTCTCATACATTCTATTACCTCCTTACCCCTTCCTCCCCTTTGATGACCCTGTGTCTAGTTTCATGACTTATACACACCCACAGATATGAATATACCCTTTTATTCTATATTCATATATATTATATATATGAGTTTAAATCTAGAGTTCTGTATGGGACAAAATAGGCAATATTTGTTTTTTGGAGTCTCTCTCAAAATAATGATTTCCAGTTCCATCTATTTCCATCAAATGTCGTGATTTCATTTTTTTCATGGCTAGATAAGATGCTGTTGTAAATACGTATGTATTATGTTTTCCTTATCTGTTTGTTTGTTGAAGGACATCTAGGATGATTTCATTTCCTAGTCCCGGCCAATAGCACAGCACTAAGTGTGGAAGAACAAGTATCTCTGTGGTCCTTCAGCAATATACCCAGGAGTACTGTATCTGGGTCAAGTGTAGATCTGTTTTTACTTAAAAAAAAAAAAAAAAAAAAAGAAAAAAAAAGTAGCTATACTTATTTCCATATTGGTTGCACAAGTTTACATCCCAACAGCAGCAAATATATGTTCTTCTTTCTCCATTCATGTTGTCATTTGTTTTTGCCATGCAAATCATTCTGAAAATGGTGAGTGATTTCTCCAAGCGATTTTACACTTCCCTGACTGCAAGGATGCTCAACACCTTCTCATGTGTTTATTGGCTGATTGTGTTTTTCCTTCTGACAGCTGTATGTCAGTTCATCTGCCCACGTATTGACAGAATGTTTTTTTTCCCTTTTATTTTATTTTACAATACCATTCAGTTCTACATATCAGCCACGGGTTCCCCTGTTCTCCCCCTCCCACTCCCTCCCCTTCCCCCCAGCCCACCCCCCATTCCCACCTCCTCCAGAGCAAAGCTTTCCCCGAGGACTGAGATCAACCTGATAGACTCAGTCCAGGAAAGTCCAGTCCCCTCCTCCCAGACTGAACCAAGCGTCCCTGCATAAGCTCCAGGTTTCAAACAGCCAACTCATGCAATGAGCACAGGACTCGGTCCCACTGCCTAGTTGCCTCCCAAACAGATCAAGCCAATCAACTGTCTCACGTATTCAGAGGGCCTGATCCATCTGGGGGCCCTCAGCCTTTGGTTCATAGTTCATGTGTTTCCATTCATTTGGCTATTTTTTTTTTTCAATAATTGAGTAAAACCAAAATTTATTATAAGCCACAGTCATCCCAGGGACCTCCATGCTATATATATAGCCTCCATGGTTCTATGTGTTGTGGTCTGATTGTTCTTTATTTTATATCTAGAATCCACTTATGAGTGAGTACATACCATGACTGTCTTTCTGGGTTTGGGTTACCTCACTCAGGATGATTTTTTTCTAGTTCCATCCATTTGCCTGCAAATTTCATGCTTTCATTGTTTTTCTCTGCTGAGTAGTACTCCATTGTGTATATGTACCACATTTTTTTCATCCATTCTTCCATTGACAGGCAACTAGGTTGTTTCCAGGTTCTGGCTATTACAAATAGTGCTGCTATGAACATAGCTGAGCATGTATCTTTATGGTATGAATCAGCATTCCTTGGGTATATGCCCAAGAGTGGGATGGCTGGGTCTTGAGGTAGTTCGATTCCTAATTTTCTGAGAAACCACCATACTGATTTCCACAGTGGTTGTACAAGTTTACATTTCCACCAACAGTGGAGGAGTGTTCCCTTTGCTCCACATCCTCTCCAACTTTGACTGTCATTGGTGTTTTTGATCGTAGCCATTCTGACAGGTGTAAGGTGGTATCTCAGAGTCGTTTTGATTTGCATTTTTCTGATGATTAAGGATGTTGAACATTTCTTTAAATGTCTTTCAGCCATTTGTGATTCTTGTTTTGTGAATTCAGAATTTTTTTTTAATGTTTAAGATTTGAGGATCTTTCTGTATTCTAGAAATTACTTCCTTGTCCACTGTGTAGTTTTCAAATATTTCCCCCGTATTGTAGACTATCTTGACTCTACTGAATATTTCTGTCCCCCTTCAGAAGCCTTCTAATTTTATGTAATTTCATATGACATTTAAGATTAGTTCTTGTGCTATTGGAATCCTTTTCAGAAAGTTATTGCTTATATCTATAGCTTGAATCCTTTCTATGTTTTCCTCTAGCAGTTTCAGAATTTCAAGTATCACAGAAAGTTCTTTGATCCATTCTGAGGTTAATTTTGTGCACAGTGAGATACATGGACCTGATGCACGCATGTGTGCTTGCTTGCTTCCTACCTTTCTTTTTTTTCTTTTTTTTTTTTTTTATCCTGAGATGGAGTGTTGCTCAGGCTGTTCTGGAATTCACTCTGTAGACCAGGCTGAACTCAAACTCACAGAGATCTGCCTGCCTGCCTCTGCCTCCCAAGTGCTGAAATTAAAGGCATGTGCTACCACCTCCTGGCTCTTTTCTTCTTACACTGAGATCTTGATAGGGAGTGCCTTCCTCAATCACTCTCCACTTAAAAAATAAATTTTTTTTTTTGTTATTTTGTATGTATGAGTGTCTTGCCTACATGTATGTCTGTGCATGCACCATGGGCAGAAGCTGGCAGAGGGCATCAGATCCCCTGGAACTGGAGTTACAGATGGTTTTTAGCCACCTTGTGGGAGTCAGAGTCAAGCCCAGGTCCTCTGGAAGAGCAACCAGTGTTCTTAAACCTCTGAGCCATCTCTTCAGCCCCTCCACTTTATTGAACATGGAGTTCATTGATTCGGCTAGGCTAATTGGCCAGTGAGTTCCAGGAATCCACCTATCTCTGTTCCCTACCCACTCTCATCCCACCTCTGTTCCCAGCAGTGAGATTACAGATGTGTGCTACAGTGCCCAGCTTTTACATCATGCTAGGGAGCGTGCATGGCTGTCGCTTTACAACTGGACTGTCTCCTGAAGTACCTGTTGGAGGGAAGAGTTTGAAGAGCACAAACTGCCTTAACCTTCAGATAGTGTTCAGTGGGGAAGCCATTTGGTTCTAGTTTTTGTTGTTGTTGTTGTTGAAGCTTCAGTCTCACTGATGTTCAAAATCAGCATATGTATATGTGTCTAAAAATTTATTTCTCCTAGAATTTTTGTGGTTTTGGAATAAGTTTTCAAATTTTGTTCCCTTTTGGTCTTCACTAATTTATATCTTCTTTCTCTTTGTGCTTGTTGGCTAAGGGTTTGTCAGTCTTTTTTTCAAAGAACCAAGTCTATTGTTTAGATTCTAGTGGTGTTCTTTTTGCAATATTTTAGCATACAGTTTATTAGTTTCTTCCCGTTTACTGCTGTGGGCTTGTCATTTTTGGGACTTTCTGATGTGATGTGTCATTAGGTTGACACTGGAAAATGTAAACACAGCTGTAAACTTTTTTATTTGGAATTGCCTTATATGTGTTCCTGGTTATTTGATTCTAGGAAATCTGAAATTTTCATCTTCAATTACTTAGTGATGATTTAAGAGTTATTATTTAGTCTGATCTGGGCGGTGGTGGCCATGCCTTTTATCCAGCACTTGGGCGGCAGAGGCAGGTGGATCTCTGTGAGTTCGAGGCCAACCTGGTCTAGAGTTCCAGTACAGGCTCCAAAGCTACACAGAGAAACCCTGTCTCAAAAAAAGAAAAAAAAAAAAGTTGTGTTATTTTTGTGCTTTTTCTTGTTACTGATTTTTAGTTTTATTGCACTATGATCTGATAATTCACAAGAAATTATTTTGATTCTTTGAATATTTGAGATGTGTTTTGTGACTATATATGTTAAGTTCATTTGATGAGTATTGTATTTAACTGAGAAGTACTTATTTGAACTTTTATGTTCTTTGGTGTTTGTTTTATGATATTGGGAGCTCCAATATTGTTGTATCTATATTTCCAATTGTTACAGTTTTTGATGAATTGGTCTCTTTATTACTGTGTATCAGTCTCCTTATCTCTTCTAGCAGAGAGTCTACTTCATCAGCTCTTGGCCTAAATATGCCAGATGGTTTTCAGCTTGTATTTGCTGGTATATTGTTTTCTACACTTGATTCTGTGGCTGTCTTTACTATTGAGGTATGTTTCTTGGAGACACAGATAATTGGATTTGATTTATTAATCCAGTCAGCTGGTCTGCATCTCTTGAATAGTAAGTTTAGTCCATTTACACTTAAGGTCACACAGATCACACAGGGATCTGATGTTTCTGCCAGTTGTATAACTTTAACTGAG